TTGTTTATCATGTTAAACGATCCAATAAACTATCTAAATTTTAAGATTAGATAAACCAGCTGATCCATTTATCCCACTTTGTATCGATTAGCAAAAATCAGAATATATCTGTACCTCCGAACTAAACTGTATTAACATCACTTTTTGCAAAAACAGTTTTAACTTCATCCATTTTCAAAAAAATATATGTGTTGATCAAACCTGTTACAACCAACTAGTATGTCAATATAGAGTCAACTAATCAACCATCTGACAAAAAACAATAAAAGCGCTATGTACAATTAATTGAGATTAAATTTTGTAAACAGCTCTCCTGCTAAATGGGAGTTAATACAGTTTAGCTTAGATTAAAATCTTATCAACTCGATCTCTTTCCGAATGATATTTAAGTTTAACCGGTTTGTTTCCCAAACGACAAGATCACTAATGCTAATGCAGGCAGTACAGTCTTGTTGAGGAGTGGTTATTACAAGGGGGAATGAAAATGTAATTTTTATCCTCGGCTCATCTCAGGTGCCTCTATAGATTAGAGAAGTATGATGCCTGCCTCGTTAATGCTCCAGTTCATGTCAGTTTTTATGAGTCAAAGGACACAAAATGTGAGACCGACTTCATCCATATCTATTCAGTATTCGTTTTATTGCAAGCCAAGTGTGTACTTGATGGCCCTCGAGCCTCCTCGCTTCGCTAAATGTTTCGCCAAGTGGCCTTGGCTATATAATTATTGAACATATTCCACTTTTAATTTATTGTGTATGTTTCTATAACATATAGTGAAACCATGAAAATTTGGTGATATTGAATAACCAATTGATTTTTTCAATAAATCATGAATTTTATATACCAGATCTTTTAAAAACTGAAAAGAATAGTTATCTCTTACACACTTTATGCACCACAAAACAAAATATTCATGATGGAGTTGAAAACGTCTATAAAAAAATTATAGATATTTTTAAAAAACTCTAAATTGACTTTTCATGTTTGGCTTATTAAACAGGATATTATAAAATTAACTGACTGTATACTTGTACTGAATTAAATTCAGGTGGCCAAATAAAAAAATCTATGAAATGTTTCTTTTTTGAAATACAGCATGATCAAATTTGACTGAATATATTTAATGTAGAGGGCTGAAACTTAAGGTAATTATTTATCTAATATAAGATAATCTGCTGAATTTTAATTCAGTGCATCAACTAATGATGGAGACTTCAGGAGTTCTATACAGGGTGTCATCAAACGAATGTTACATACTTCATGAGTATAATCTATAACCCAAATGGTGTCAATTTAACCAAAGTTGCTTAAACGAAAATGTCGCAAATAAATTTACAGGGTGTTAAAGTTCCTTTTTTATGTCTTGTTTTCTCCTTAACTCAGAACCCAGTTAACCGATTTGAGCAAAATTTGCTGTTGCTTAGTTTCTCTTCGTGAAGTATGCAGTGATTATGTTCCTATTAGGTTAAATCATATAGGGTGTTCGTTTTACTTAGGGTTTCTGGTCGAGACTTCTCGAAGCGAGAATTCCCGGGAAATCTGGCCTTACTCAAGACGAGAAAAAAGTGTCGAGAAATCGAGAAATTTAAAAATCACGCGCGTCTTAAATTCTTGATTGGAGTTCGTTTCGTTCATGTGTTCAATTCGTTTCTCGATAAATAATACTGAGCAGTTAAAGTGGTTTCTCGACTAGCTCATGATGATTTATTTTAAGTTTTTAAGGCTTTAGTTTACTTTGACGATTCTTATTTTTTTAATGTACTTTGTTATAAGTCTGTGTAGAAATTTTATTATAAGCAGATACCTATTGTTGATGTTGATTCTGAAAATATTTAGTTCCTGTTCCTTTAGTTGATTATTTTATTTTTGTTTTGTTAATTAAAAGATTGTGACTATAAGTTATAAATTAATAGGAAGAACGCTTCTGTATCTTTAAATTAAATCTTGTTTTTTTAAGATTTCTTTGGTTAAATTCCTTATTTACTATTTGTTTAATTAAAAGACTGCATGATTAATGATTATTAATTGGAAGAAAGCTGCGATTCAAAAACATTGAAATAAACATAGGTATAATGAGTGTTTAATAAAAAAACAAGTTAAAGGTTTTTCAGAAGAAGATACTCAAAGTTTAATTTAGTTTTGTTAGTTGAATTAGAAACATATAAGTAATTAATAAAAATACTGAATAAATAATAAATGTTAATTATGATTGTTAAGTATAATAGTATGTTTATATTTCGCAATGCAATACCAAAATTATGACTTTAAGTTTTAGAAATTTCTCGAGAATTCGAGAATTCCCGGGAATTCCTAGTCGAGAATTCTCGAGACCCGAGAAAAAAAGTAGGCCGAGAAATCAGAAACCCTAGTTTTACTACAACCTTTTGTGAATATTCTTCTGTAGTTTGTGTAATAACATTCAACAGAAAAACTTTGTAAAACACCTTTATAAAAAATCAAATAAAAAAGTTAAATATCATAATTAGTGCTGGCAAAAACCGGAAAAAAGTGAAACCGGTTAACCGGGTTCCGTAAAAACTGATTTCAGATAAAACCGGTTAGTCAAATAGTTGTTAAACCGGTTATTCGAATAACCCGTTACTTGAATCACCAAAACCGGATATCTGAAAATCGGTGCTTTACAAAGACAGACCGGGAGAAGTTGATGTCTAAAAAAAAAAAGGTCTACAAAAATCTGGAAGTCAAATTTGTTTACGAAGAAATCGATCTCCAAAAAAAAAGGTCAATTGCAATCGGACAAATCGATGTCTAAAAAAAAGGGAAGTAGATTATCGAATAATCGGTTATTTGAATAATCGGATATTTGAAGAATCGAATAACCGAATAACCGGTTTTCGGATTTCGCAAAAATCCGAATTATCCGGAACCGGTTAACCGACTATCCAAAAAACCAATTTCAGTTGCCAGCACTAATCATAATGGCCAAAATTGAAAAACGCCCTGTTTCTCTGAAACGAATTAAGACATCGAAATGCTGAATTTTTCTTGGAAATCAAGCCCATAACATCTAAACTTCTTTTTATCTATCTTTTTGGAAAATAAGTAATCAACCTAGAAAACCTGTTGAATGTTGCCGATCCTTTATATACATCATAACAATTTTTGGGGCATGTAAATTAGTCTTTGGCGCAACTTCATCATAAATGATGCTACATGATGTAATAACATCATCATCATCAGGTCGATAACCGCACGGTTTAAGGCGTCAGTACTGAAATTGATGTGTGCTAATTCTGCCTGGGTTTGATTACTGCGGCTGGTAGACCGTAGATTAGCTATGCTTGTACGGAGAATTGGCAACCTCTGTGCAGGTATGGTAGGGTGGAAGAATCATTATCATTATCATTATCATTATCATTATCATTATCATTATCATTATCATTATCATTATCATTATCATTATCATTATCATTATCATTATCATTAT